TAAATATTGCCGAGGTCACTAACTTCGCGAGAGCATAATTCCGTCAGTTTTCCATCAAATTTTGTTTTTTTGGTGTCATTACAATCGGGAAAAGATTCTCTCTATCATTTCATAAGAAAAAATTAATTTTTTTTTTTAAATTTTGCGATACCAGGAGACACCTCAGGATTGGGGGTTGCGACAGTCAAAGGGTTAAACAGCTGATGAAGGTGTTCTGCAGTTCCTGCTGTGCTGCTTTTATTAAAAATATTGCATAAAAATACCTTCAGCTTATGTGTAAAAGCTGTATTTTTTTTTTTTTAACAAATCGGCTGTATCCCACCAAGGCAGGGTGGCCCAAAAAGAAAAACGAAAGTTTCTCTTTTTAAATTTAGTAATATATACAGGAGAAAGGGTTATTAGCCCCTTGCTCCCGGCATTTTAGTTGCCTTAAAAGCTGTATATGAAGTATAAATGGATTTAGTGTATAGACGTGGATCCCACCCCCAAGCTATCTCACAATATTCCAAAATCTGAAAAATTCTGAAATCTGAGACATTTCCAGCCCCAAACATTTTGGATAAGGGATACTTGACTTGTATTTTTTTATACCATAATTTACAAGAATTGTAAGGAGAAAGCATTAAAAAAATTATTTTCTCTAAAGCTACAATATCACTTAGACTGGAATAATATTTTACATATAACTGTGGTTGTTTTATAACAGTGTAATGTAGGTATATAACAGTAAAATCAATTAGTTATCATGATGTGTAACCATTATGAAGTAATAACTTACTTCAGGTGAGAGATGACTAAACACTTGTTACTCATTTTCATGCAGTTACTCATTTTCATGCACTATGACTACTCAATACAAGGAATTCACATGAAGCACAGCTATAAGCTTATAACTTAGCCACAAACTGAACCCAGAATTATCTGCAAATTTTGCCTGGAATCAATATTGGATTAATAAATGCCAAAGATTTTTAGCGGATAATTTTGAATGCTTTTTAATGGCAAAGGACTTTTATTTAGTGATTCCCATTTACTGCAAAGCAAATGCACTTTACGAATGCAGATAGATTGGCAAAAAAGTGTACACCGATTCCCCAAGCACTTCATCCAGGTTAATTGAAGGCATCACTGACTATCAACAAATTAACAATGCACTGAAACTGGCAAACAAATCATTTACCAACAAGACACTACCTAGACATGAAAATCTGCTCCAGTGCTCAATGTGCCCATTAAATATTACTACTAATATCAAAGCTGGTGTTGACAGTCTTCCCTTTCCAAGATATGTTAAATGTTCACCTGATAATTCCAGAACACACAACTACAGTTGAATAATTTATTGCACTAGCACTGCATCTGTCACAAATGAGAAATTCCTATTTCTCATGTTGTGGAGCAATAGTTTGTTGATAATTGATGAGGAAGACAGAATAATGAGGTGAGTATATAGGCACAACAGTCAGAACTGGGGAACTTTCAGCATTGCATCACATCTTTCACAATTCATTGTGAAAACATGGTCCAAACACCACCTTACAATGTAAAAACCTCCCTTCATGGGAGTTTCTTTGATACCAGGGAGGGGCTGTTGAGCCAAGGAATTCTACCTGCCCTCTCTTTCCTTCGATGAAATCTGAATGTCTCAGATTCCTCCAGGTACTGTACGACTCCTATAGGATCAGCATTCCCCCTGTGAATGTAATAATATAGCTGCGGCTCTTTTATCTTCATACGTTAGCATGTGACTAATGGTCCAAGTTAGACAGAAATGTCGTTATAAGTTTTACTCCTATGTGCATGTCATTTGTATATAGCTGTGTGCCGCTGTAGATTCTCAAAAATCGCACTTGAGGGCAAGGTTGTTTTTTCTTTCAGCCTAATTGTTAGCAGTTTGCTTGTCTTTCCAGTAGTAAATGATTGCTGATTACCTCTTGTTGCCTTCATTTACTATTATATATAAAACACTTGGCAGTTTATAAATCTTTGTTTCCATTTCCTTGATTTTCTGTTCTGTCACTACCTTTTCTTTCTTGGTTGCTTCTGTCTGGTTCCCTCGTTCCTACTTTAATTAAAACTTTCCAGCTCCTCCCTGGAGTATTGCTGTTGGTTAACTTCTTTGTTTATTGTCACTCTTCAGTATTACTAGGAAACTTTTTGCTATTTTATTGCTTTCCCCATCAATTCTGTCTATCCTGCCTTGGGGTTCTTCTATCTTTGCCATACCCTTCAAGGGAGGTGCCTTAATATCAGTAAAGAGCTCTTGATCCTGGAAAGTGGAGTCATCCTCCAATTTCAGTTAATTTGTGTGCCTCCCATTTCCCATTTGCTGTATGACCATTAAAAGTTTAGCACTTCTCCATATTTTTTTTTTTTTTTTTTAACAAGTCGGCCGTCTCCCACTGAGGCAGGGTGACCCAAAAAAGAAAGAAAATCCCCAAAAAGAAAATACTTTCATCATCATTCAACACTTTCACCTCACTCACACATAATCACTATTTTTGCAGAGGTGCTCAGAACACAACAGCTTAGAAGCATATACCTATAAAGATACTCAACATATCCCTCCAAACTGCTAATATCCCGAACTCCTCCTTTAGAGTGCAGGCATTGTACTTCCCATTTCCAGGACTCAAGTCCGGCTATATAAAAATAACTGGTTTCCCTGAATCCCTTCACTAAATATTACCTTGCTCACATTCCAACAGATTGTCAGGTCCCAAATACCATTTGTCTCCATTCACTCCTATCTAACACGCTCACGCACACTTGCTGGAAGTCCAAGCCCCTCGTCCACAAAACCTCCTTTACCCCCTCCCTCATATATATATATAGCAAATGCTTCTGACACAATATTGTGGTCCTGGCCTGTCTACAGTTTTCATTTTATTAGCTCTAATGCCCTCAAATATATTCCCCTTTTTCCATCTCCATCACTTTATTTTCTGTCGTTTGTTATTTAAATGTTTTGCCTTATTTTTCATTTACTTTTTTTGCAATTTATCTCTTGTTCCATTTGATTTTCATCTCAAATATTTCTCCTATTTTTTCTTTCAGATGAACTCATATGTGTTCTTACTATATCTCGTCTCAATTCCTACATGATATGCCAGAGAATTTACTCCTTTCCCTTGCAGACTTCTTCTCAGGTAGTACCTGCTACTCTTCCTGAATTCTTTAAAATTGGACTCCTATCATAACCTCATTAGTGATCATCTTTTGCTAGGAGCAGAAATTCTCTTATATCTGGCCACTTGCCATTTAAGTGAATAATAGCATTTTGGAGGTTGGTTGCTGCTGGCTCTTTGCTGATTCACGTTGCCTATCTTCTGTTCTCCCTCTTCCTTTTGTTCCTGTTGTTTACACTGGTTTCACAGATAGTTTCTGCCTTGTTGCACTTTTTTTTTTAATTGATCATAGGCTTTTTTAACTTTTTATTTGGTTTCCATACCCAGCCTAATTTGGCGACTTTGACAGTATTGTGGTTTGTTTGATTTTCCCAACAAGACCACACAAAGACTTTAATTATGATGTAGCAGTGTGCATGGTGCCCATGTATGTTACATGCCTATATGAACTTGCCTGTATATGGCTGCAGGGGTTGAGTTATAACTCTTGGCCCTGCCTCTCAACTTCTTGGATGCCAGATTCACTCACTCCTAGCCTTGTGGGCCTTACCTTGTGTGTGCGTGTGTGTGTAAGTTGTTACTTATGTCATAACATTAATAAGTAGCTATTAAATTTGTAGCCTCCACTCCCTTTCCTCAAAATGTGGCAGTTCCCCAGTTACTTTTTTGTTTTTTTAACATCTAGTTAATGAGTAAACGTGTGATTTTTTTAACAAATAATTGAATCTAGTTTTTATTTTTGTAAAATGTGGCTTCTTGAAATTTAACTGTTACATTTTTAAGATATAATGTGAAAATCTACAACATGACCATGTTGTAATGAAAAAATTGTGACATAAGGAGTTGGTAGTATGCTTGTTCATTATTGTATCATAAGCAGTGTGGCCTGGCTATAACTAGCATTAACTAGGATTTTTATGACATGATATTTCCATAGCTAAAGGACTTAATTGACTCTTAAATAGAAAACAGTATGCATAGCTCCACCTGGTGCTAGATGTAGCGTAAGCGAAATTCCATTGAGAGTTTGATTTAATCAGCGGTATGGTGGCTGTTAAAGCATTCTGAGACGAGAATGTTGATGTAAGAGGCAACAGAAATAAGATTATACAAGCATCTAGAATCATGATTTGAAACTTTACATTCAACTTTGTCTTGATTACTTACATGATTATTGGCACAATGAAGAGCAGGTTTAAAATTAGTAGCTGTATCATTCGTCTTAGACATGAATTTACAGTATATTTTGTATGTCTGTTTTTAGTTCTCTTGGACTTTGTCCAAGTGTGTAAGCCATAGACTGGATAACTGGAAAAAAATATGATTTTCTCAAATGAATCTCAGATAAATTTTTGAAGTTTGATGGAAAGATCTACATCTGTGCTTCTGATATATGTAAGATATAACCTGTCTTCTGAAAACTATCTGATGGCCAACTTGGTGTGAGTAATGCATTACTTTTGGCAGTGATTGCCTGCACCTTTTATAAGACACTTAATTGGTCATTTTTGTACAAGGCACAGTTAATTGCCATAATTTTTGTACAAGGCACAGTTAATTGCCATTAATTTTGTACAAGGCACAATTAATTGCCATAATTTGTGTACAAGGCAGTTAATTGCCATAATTTTCTACAAGGCACAGTTATTCTTCATCTTGTACAAGGCACAGTTGAAGCTGTTGACTACTTGGAATTGCCTTCAGGCACTTCTTTGTGTGCAATGGAAGGCTTTTCATTGAAGATGATTCTCCACCATGCCATCATACCTGACAGGAAAGTTGTACTGTACTTTAATTTATTCAAATTAATATTGTTTTAAACACCAGAAAACATTTTCAAACACCATAGTTATTGCTTATTTTCACTTTCAGGTAACAAATTACCTCAAGAAAGAGAATATACGGAGTTTGCCATGGTCGGGAGACAGCCCCGATTTAAACCTTATTGAGAATTGTTGGGGTGAAACAGGGAAAAAGTTGCCACAAAAATGCCAGCATCAAAAAAGAAAGCTTCTGGAAAGTTATATCTATCTGGTATTATGAATTATTATTGGAAGCCATCCAAAAGATGATGTCTTCAATGCAATCAAGATGTGAAGCAGTGTTAAAAGACTTAAATTCGATGTAACAATGCAATTGTTGATAATTGAACATTTTATATTAAAGTTTGTTTAATTATTATTAATATTTGGTATATGGTAGGCTTAATGTTCCTGCTAGACTTTTTGATTTATATACTGCATAATGCTTATTTAATATTACACAATAAATAAGTTACTGTGTAATCATAATTATAATTAAACTTCTGATTATGTAATAAATGTTTTATTTTGTTCCCACAGTTAATGTTGCATCTCAAGGCATTTCTACAAATCATTAATCTCTTGTTGCAAAATATAAACCAATGTGATGCAATAAATTTGGCCACCACTGTGTGCAGAGTTGTGCGTGTATATAGTATACTTTTTTTTTTTTTAATAACATCAATATCTGTCTCTCGTCAAGGCAGGATGACCCAAAAAAAAAAAAAAACACATTGACCATTATTCATTTAGTCGCCATCTTCCCAAAAGTGCTGGCATTACAGTCGGATTACTCTCCATCTGTAATATTTCATCCCCATTCCTTCTTTAGAGTGTAGACATTGTTTTTCCCACCTCCAGGACTCGAGTCCAATTAACAACCATGGTGACGTCACATCCCTGTAAAATAATTCCCCCTCTCCTACATACCCAAACCTGAGTCGCACTATCCATATAAAAACACTTCTGCTCTATACATTCTATACATTTGCAACATCAGTGTCTTAACCATTTATCAGTTTCTGTCACATTGCTTCCCTATCCACCCTATCACATACCTTTTCTAAATCCATAAATGCAACAGAAAGTTCCTTACCTTTCTCGAAGTATTGTTCCCTTGTGTGTTTTAATGTAAACACTTGGTATATACAGCCTTTACACTTCCTAAAACCACCTTGTTGCTCTGCAAGCTTACTGTCTGCCAGTCTTAACTCTTAACCTTTAAACTGTCCAAACGTAGATCTGCGTCCATATGCGTAGCGTTCCAGACGTAGATCTACGTCCAATCTTACATGCTTTCTTATGTAAAAAAAAAAAACAGATCTACAATTGGAGCGCTAAGCACATGGACGCAGATCTATGTTTGGACAGTTTTTAGGTTAATTATTTGAATAATAACTTCAGTTTACTCTACTTGGTATACTTAACAGGGTTATTTCCCTGTAATCTTGTGCTCCCTTTTATCCCTTCTTTCCTTATGCAAAGGAACTATGCAAGCTGTCTGCCCATCCCTAGGTACCCTCCTCCTTTTATGTACGTATTTTTTTCAAACCTACCGCAAATATTCCACCAAAGTAGAATGACCAGATAAACACCTTCACCATCACTCATTCTGTTATGCCCTGCCAGAGGTGTCTTGACGTTACAGCTTGTATGCCCCTCCAAACTAGTATCCCCACCCCTTCTTCAAAGTGCGGGTACTGTACGTACCTGCTACTTTCAGGACTTGAGTCTGACCGGTTTACCTGAATCCATTAACATTGCCATGCTTACACTTTAACAGCATGTTAAATCATAAAAAACACTTGCCTCCACTCATTTTTTTTCTAACATGTTTACACTCGCCTGTTGGACATCCAAGTCCTTCGCACACAACACTTTTATCCTCTTCCTCCAACCTTTCCTAGGATGACCACTACCCTTCCTTCCCTTCAAATTTATATTCCCTTCAAATTTATATACCCTCCAAGTCATCCTATTTAGCTCCAATCCCTCTTATGTCCTAACCACCTTAAACCATTCCTTAGCCCTCTGGATAATACTTTTAGTAACCCTGCACTTCCTACTAATCTCCAAACTACAATTTCTCAGCATAATATTCACACCACACATTACCCTCATACAACATCACTGCTTTGAACCTACTCACTGCAACATTTAACAATCATTCTTCACACCCAAGTAAGTGTGTTAAGAACATAAGAAAGAAGGAACACTGCAGTAAGCCTACTGGCCCATGCAGGGCAGGTCCATGTCAACCCCCCAGCTTAGACCAATGGCCCACCCAGTCAGGTCACCTCCACTTAAGGAAGGAGCACGGCTTTTGACCCAGTAGCACCAGCTAGTCAGGTCCAACTCACACCCACCCACACCCACTCATGTATTTATCTAACCTATTTTTAAAACTATACAACATCTTGGCTTCTATGACAGTACTTCGGAGTTTGTTCCACTCATCCACAACTCTTTATTATCAAACCAGTGTTTTCCTATATCTTTCCTGAATCTGAATTTTTTCCAGCTTAAAACCATTGCTGCGCGTCTTGTATAGGCTCGATATTTTTAGCATTCCATTTACATCCCCTTTATTTATTCCTGTTTTCCATTTATACACCTTGGTCTTTTTTTTTTTTAACAAGTCGGCGGTCTCCCACCGAGGCAGGGTGACCCAAAAAGAAAGAAAATCCCCAAAAAGAAAATACTTTCATCATCATTCAATACTTTCACCTCTCACACACATAATCAACATTTTTTTCAGAGGTGCTCAGAATACAACAGTTTAGAAGCATATACATATAAAGATACACAACATATCCCTCCAAACGTATCCCCCCTAATTCTACACCTTTCTAGAGAGTGCAGATTCAGGGCCCTCAGCTTATCCTCATAGGGAAGATTTCTGATACATGGGATCAACTTTGTCATCAACCTCTGTACGTTTTCCAGTGCATTTATATCCATTCTGTAATACGGTGACCAGAACTGTGCAGCATAATCTAAATGAGGCCTAACCAAGGATTTATAGAGTTGAAGAACAACCTGAGGATTTCTATTATTTATGCTTGATATGAAGCCAAGGATGCTGTTAGCTTTATTGCGAATGCTTATGCACTTTTGTCTTGGTTTCAGGTTACTGCTAACCAGAACTCCTAAATCCTTTTCGCTATCAGTAATATTAAGATCTACATTATTTAGTTTATACGTGGCATGGTTATTATCCTTTCCAACATTTAGAACTTTGCATTTGTCTGTTAAACTGCATCTGCCACTTCTCTGACCATTGCATCAGTCTATTCAAATCATCCTGGAGTGCTCTGATGTCCTCATTAGAATGAATTGGACAGCCTATTTTGGTGTCAGCAAATTTTCTTATGTTGCTATTTATTCCCTCATCTGTCATTTATGTAAATTGTGAACAAGGGGCCCAACACTGACCCCTGTGAAACACCGCTTGTGATGTGCCCTCATTCTGATTTCTCCCCATTTATGCAAACTCTCTGCTGCTTATTTGTCAACCATGCCTCTACCCAGGAAAAAGTTTCTCCTATTCTGTGTGCCTTAAGTTTCCTTAATAGCCTCTGATGTGGAACTCTATTGACATTCACTTCTCCATACTCCCTCCTTCCAAATATTCATTACCTGAATTTTTTGTTATTCTCTTCACCTTGCTCTTTCCTATGATCATTTTTAATTTCCTTCTTTTACCTACTTTCCCATATTTCTCTACCAGTCTTTACAGCTTCTCTTTAGAATCTCCCAAAGGCACTATCATGTTGGCAGAAAGCAACTTCGACACTTGCCACTTTATATTAGATTGTCTTTTAAACCAACATCTCTCCAACACCCTAGCATTCACTTCTCTTACAACCCTTACTGTAAATATGTTAAACAACCATGGTGATATTACACGTCCCTGTCTAAGGCCAATTATTACTGGAAGAGAATCCTCCTCTATCATAAATATCCTAACTTGAGCCTCATCACCCTCATAAAAACTCTTAACTGCTTTAAGTTATCTTCCACCTGTTCCATACCAGCATCTGCCACATTGCTTTCCCATACTCTCTATCATATTCCTTTTGTGAACCCATCAACCATTCCATACTTATTTTCTAGCCTGTTTTAAACACGTTTGACTTGATCCTATTTATTCCAGCTGCTCTACTCCTTTTCATTCTACCCACTGCCTTATGCTACTACCACTCTCACATCTGAGTTTTCCTTGTACGCATGATATCACTGCCTCTGTCTTCATCAGCAGTTAACAACTCAAGGTATTCCCTCCATCTTCCCAGTATCCCCATCTAATGTGTCCCCCCTCTTGTTTTTAACTGCTAAGTCATTTGTTCTTTAGGCTTTCTAAACTTTCTAATCTCAATCCAAACCATATTTTTGGCAAGATTTGTTGATAAGATCTCACTCACTGTCATTAGCCTTCTTTTAGCACTTCCTCACCATTCTTTTAACACCTCTTTTATTCTCCATATACTCTTTCCTACATGCATCACTTCTACCTCGTATGATATCCCTCTTTACCTCCTTATTTCACCAATTTCTGTTTTTTTTTTTCTCTCTCTCTCTCTGTTCCCACCCTCCCATACCCAGAAACTTTTGCTCTATACTAATACTGCATTCTCGTTTCTATACTTTACTCCTCGTTGATCCTCTCCTCATTACCTATATTCTCTCTAGCCAGCCTTTCTCCCAATAGTGTCTTGTATCTTACCCTAACTAGAGGGTGCATATATCAAGGTTGGATGGAAAATCTTCAATATTTGAAGGAGGTTGTTAAGGTTTTTGAGAGATAGAGGCTTGAGCATCCAGCAGGTATGTGTGAGCATGTTACATAAGAATGAGTGGAGATAAATGGTTTTTGAGATGTGTTGTTGGAGTTTGAGCAAGGTAATATCTGTGAATGGTAGAGATGTTTTGGTTTGGCAGATTATTTCACCTGTGATTTTCAAGTATTCCTGGAAATATAGCTAGGGAATGAATGATGGTGAATGTTTTTTCTTTGGGTTTTCCGTAAATTTGTTACATTAGAAATAGCATTCAAATTTCCTAAAATGAAGGCTTCATATATTTTGAATCCTTTTTGCAATATTGATTTCAGATGTAATTTGAAAGAATAATGTATGTTGGCTTATTGATGTACATTGTGTGATTTTCTAGCATTAGGATACAATATACAGTAAATCCTTGATTGATGAGCATTACATTCTTGAAAATCGTCCTCTGATTTAAAATATAGTAGCATTAAGTGATGGGAGTAGGAAAGGGGAAAATGGAATTACATTCCAGACACTTCCAGATTAGCGAAAAAAATTTTGTTTTACTATTCCTCTAGGTAAAAATGATTAGATTAAGTTAACCTTCAGTATGTTAGTCAGTCCTTGAAGAGTGTGAAGAGGATGAAGGTAGGCCTACTGCACTGAGTTGAGTTAAAAGGTTCATCAGTTGACACACACAGTACATGCAAATATTGTAGAAATAATGCACATTTTCTTTACCAAATTGTA